TGAATAAAAAGGGAGAATTTGAGATTTACTCTAAAGTCTTTGACTTGATTAGAGAGATATTTAGATATTTCCAATGAGTTAGACAGAAACTGTGAATTATTGTGGGGCAGTGGGCTATGAGTAAAGGCCAGAAAGCTTGGTAGAAAGCTCTGGAAGCCCCAGAAACCTTGGTTTGAAGAAGACCATTAGGAGGACCCCTTCGAGCATTCCCAAAGTCATCTGGCTCTCTTAACTTCCGCCCCCCACAGCCCCTCCCATGGAGAAGTCCATGGCCAGGGATCACACCTTTATGCAGATGAGGCATTCCCAAGCTCCCAAATCAAGTCAATAGGGTTACCTGCTTTCACCCCAAAAACTGTATATATTGACCAAAGCTCAAAAGTAAAGTGAATGTGAGATCTTTCCCGCTGTTGGAGACCTTTGTCGAGGTTCCTCCCCCGTAGCCGGCTAGCCTAAGCACTTCAAAGAGCTACAATACTTCTCCCCTCCCCAATCCGCGGTTTGGGGCGAAGCAACAATGAGCTGTAACACTTTTTCAGCACTCCCGGGCTGCCCGCAGGGAGAGGAAGCAAAAGAGCTGTAACACTCGCCCAGCCTTTGGAGGCTGGAGCAGAAACGTACCCTCCAGTCTGCTCCCCGCCCAGCCGTCAGAGGCTGCTGTAACCGGTTTGAGAGGCTACGTCCTACCTGGCCTGCCCCGCCCCTGAAAAGCGCACTGTGCTCTAGCTCGTGGCCCCGCCCCTGCCCGCGTTCCGCTCGGAAGTGCCGCGCCCCCCGCCCCGCCCTCTCCTGCCTTTGCCCTGCGTCCTGCGCTGCTGCAGCCAGGAAGGCCTCGGAGCCCTGCCCTGCTCCGCCGCGCGTGACCTGCTCCTGAGATTGGACCCACAAATTATAAGGATTTAGGTGAGGATTTTAAAGTTGAAAGAAAGCATGTATTAGATTTTATTCAATCATAATGATTGATTTAATGTGAAGAAAAATGATTATTGAGTCCAGATCACAGGTTAAAGTTAAAGTCAGAGAAAGAGAGACATTTTAAAGACAGTAACAGACTTATAGAACTCAAGAGTGAATCCCTAAGAATGAGCCCTGGGGCAATTCAATATTTAAAAACTAGAGAACTCAAAAGTGAGTTGTAAAAGCAAGCATACAATGCTGACCACAAAACACCATGGCCCAGGACAGGATGTGACACAAGAAAAAAATGAAATCAAGTGCTAAAACAGAAGAGTTAATAAAATGGGGTAACTCTGGCTGATGAACTGGGGATAGGCAGAAGCATAATTACTATTCAGGTTAGCAACATACAGGTCTATGATAAACACTAGTAAAATAGGCCAGCTGCAATGAAATATAAGGATCAAGATCATGTTTGGAAAAAAGTGTGAGACATTGGAGTGAACTTACGCAGTTGAGTAAACTGTTATGAAATAAATCAGAAGGAGTGTATAAAAGACGAAGAAGAGAATAAAAGCACAATTCAACACAAGGGAAAATAGAACTCCATGTTTATATATGGATAGATATGGTCACCCGGAATAGGAAAATTGATATAATACAGAATATCACACACTTATAATGTAAGAATGGATAAGGCATAACATATAAGCTCAGATTTGGTCTAAGTTAAATTACGGGTCATTCCAGGCAATTCTTTGATTACTACAACATACTGGCCGAATATCCTATTCCATCAGTCCTGGACCTACAGATAGACCCCAGCTCTAGGTATGAACAAAGGTCCTATAGCTCTTTCCTGAAGTATCTCTCAGGTTTTTCTCCCAGTCTGTATCTATTCCTTTCTGCTAGCCACCTGAATTGCTGAATCTCTCCATACTGGGCAACAACAGTAGCCACTCTGTCCTCAGACCAAAAGTCCAACAAAAACAAAGGAGTAGAACTCTCATCAAAGATAAGACAATATATTTAAACCTATAATCACAATGATACCAGTCCAGATGACTAGACAGTGCAGAAACAATCAATATCAGCCAAGACATAATAATACGTATTTACTCTTTCTCTACTCATCATAACCAAAATTTAGAAGTTATTAGATGTCCATTATAAGCTTAATAGATATGAAAAATATGGTACATGCTAACAAGGAAATATTACTCAGTTGGTTAAAAAACTGGAATTCATGCTTCATGGACTGAACTTGAAAAAACATCACTTAGCAAGTTAACCTATACTCAATGACAAATATGGTGTGTATTCTCTTATATGTTGTGGTGGTTTAAATAAGAATGGTCCCTATAAGTTCATATATTTGGAAGTTTATTTAACTGAGAGTGACACTATTTGAAAGGATTAGAAGGACTGAAAGTTAAATCCTTTTTTGGAAGAAGTAAGAACTGGGGCTGGCTTTGAGATTTTAAAAGCCTATGCCAAGCCCAAATTCTCTATATATCAGGATGTAATTATCTGCTACTGCTGCTCTAGGGTCTGTCTGCATTTCCACATGCTTCCTGCCATGATAATAGACTAAACCTCTAAAACTGTAAGTACTCTTCCAATTAAATGTTTTCTCTTATAATAGTTATCTTGGGTAGGTTTCTCTTCATAGTAATAAAACAGTGACTAAGAAATAAAAGGATATTCGCCTTTAAGCATTTGATAGGCATATTATAATCCATATAACTGCAGTGTAAATATCTAGACATCATTGAAGGATCTACCAAAAAAGTGGAATTAGAATATCTAATTATGGAAAATATGGAAGGAAACTAGAACAGGTTGATTAAACATAGAAGCAGTGGGAACATAATAGTAAAGGAAGGAATACAAGAAATGACAGTTAAAACTAAGTTCTGTTTGAGGGGTAATATGGAAATTCACTATATTATAGAAGCTTTCAAAAATTTATACCCAGAGGAGAGAGATCAAAATGTAATCATCAAATAACGAGGGAGATAAGAACCCAACAAAGCATCTCTTGCTACCAAGTGAACCTCCAATATCATGAATAGGTTCCACCTAATTATGTCATTAGAAAAATGGGCCCATGGACACCCTCAACCCACTCAGACTATTACAAAGGCTATTGTTTGCTCTTCAAAAACTGATGGTAAGGTGCTATTGGTGAAGACAACACATAGATATTATACTGAATACTATGAATTTGAGCTGGACCATAATGAGAGACTTCACCTTTCTTGACTAGTGTTCACTGTACTATAAGGTACTCTGTATGTTACCAGAGTCGAAAATTAAACACTAACCATATTTCAGCCACTTCAATCTACAGTGATGATATATTTCCATGGTACACTGATAAAATAATAGCACAAATATTATGGGAGTATCCAATCAACTATTTGATTAAATTTAAGAACCACTCTGTGTGATAGAACCTATGCATGAAACTGTTTCAGTATCTCAAAAGACCAGATAGGCCATGCACCTAGAAGAACATCACATAATATTACTCTGCTAACGCAGCATAGCAATAAAATAGCTCCTAATGACATTCTGCTATACACAAAGAGTAGAGCCTTAGTCAGTCATCATCAGAAGAACTTCCTTCTGGAAGAGATGAAAACTAATACAGAGAACAACACCTGGACAATATGCTGAGAGTGCCTTGGAGTCTCAGTCCTACATGGCATGCCTTCATGAAACCCCTTTATTCTTTTAGGGAGCTTTGTGAAGAGGGAGTAGAATGGTTTTAAGAACCAGTGAGGATAGAAGACTTCAAAAAAACAAGTTCTCCCAGTCACAACAGGAATTATTCATATATCAACTACCACAGTCTGGACTGTGGTAGCATACACAGGGACTTCACAGATCTGATCCAGATGAGATCCCAATGCTAAGAGGGAAAGTAGACAGTAGCTCACATATCTAGTCAAGAAGCTATCTCCAACTGATAACTGCTTGCAATGGAAAAGATAATTGTCTTCAATAGAGTGTCGTTGGGTATACAAACAACATTTAAGGACAGGCCAAGGCCCATAATGATAAAAAGATTATTCCCTCCAGTTTGCATAAATACACAAACTAAGTCCCAAATTCTCCTAACACCTGATAAAGTCAAGGAGAAAATACTCACATATATAAGCCTAACAGAAATGTTTGCATTCTCCTAATAATCACAGGCTGTGATATATATTCATTTTATAGTCGGGTCAAACTTTAAACAAAAAACAGAAACTTTAAAGGATAGTTTAATTATTGTTAACAAACAGAAATAAAAACATTTGTGAAGTAGTGTGAATAGAATTCTTCAGTCATCATTCTGATGTACCATTAACTAGCAATCAAGTGTCCTGAGGATCCTGGGATGCTCCTAAAGACCCCATCAGATTGAAGCTCTACACATGAGAAGCTAGAACACTAGTTAACAAGTCTCTGCTTTTCCCCTGGAACTTACTCTATATCCTCTCAAAATGGCGAAGGTGTGTTTCAAAACCCAAACATGCTGAAGTATTCTGAGGGCAAAATGCTTTAGAAAAACTAAACCACAAAATGTGCATTGTACCTTTGAAAGCAAAGTTCATTTGTACCTAGCCATCTATTATATTCACCAACAACTTTTATTAAATCATACATAGACTCTCTACTATGACTACTATGTGTTTGATCTTAAATTAATCCTAACAGAAACCTTGAAAAGGTCAATTATTATTTCTTCTTCTTTTAAAGGTCACAAAAGTCATGTTTTTCCTTGGATCATGATTGTTAGTGAGTAATCACAGTGATTAATATTTAGTTCTTCCAATATGCAGAAAATTCTATTTCTGTGTCAGTGTAAAAATCAAAGAAAAAATAGTCATTTGCATCCTTGTCTTTTTTCAAGTATGTCTTGTACAGGATTTTGAAAGTTATCCTATTTTGACAAAGCACACATATTCATTTAGTCAGAAAAAAAAAATGGGGCAGGGTAAAGATTTCATACATTCTTCTTGGTCCTCCTGAAATTCTCCCAACCATCAATTCCACACTTGGACATTAAAAATGTTTTGGGGAAGAAGTTGAAGTTTATTGATGGTACCTACCTGTTGTCACCCTCTCTGGAGAAAAAAACAGTGAAGGTTTGAATGTTCCCTTTTGCTTCTGCAGGTGGACGCCAGCTCAAACGGACAAAGCGACTTGAAACCAAGACAGGGACCACATCTCTGGGAGCAGAAGGGAGGATGCTGGAGCTTGGGATGGCTAAGAAAGAACAAGAGGAGAACATCAGAAGTGCTGGCACCCAGGCATATCTCAGCTGAACTACAATGTACATGGCCAAGAGTATCAAGCAAGTCCTATTGAAGGCTAACAAGGGAAATAATATCTAAAGTGGAATAAAGAATACATGTGAATTCCTTAGATTTTTAAGAAGTGACTTCTCAATAATGCATATGATTGTACTATAGGATGATTGGTTATTTTTATCTCTGGAATCTATGACAAAGAGGAAAGCAATGTCAATATAGGTAAGTAGCAAATAGCAGGGAATGACATTGAGTAATGCACTTTTTAATGTTTAAAAGTCATTGTATGTATGTATGATGTGCATATATGGGCAAGCATATACCACTGCACACAAATCAAAAGAAAACTGTGTATAGAATTTCTTCATCTATCTCTACAAAGTTCTGGTAATGTGAAATATTAATGTATATGTAAGTTCAATATAGGTAGGTCTTGCTTTAAAAGTATGGACTCAATACAACAGTATAAATGTATCATATTTCTTATGAGATCAAATGATGAAATATTTTGAACAAGAGATCATAGGCAATGTGAAGGCAGAAGAAAGTATGTAATTAATTATATTTCTCTGAATCCTTTCATTAATGATGTAGGGATTGATTAAGTATATGAAGGAGTGAAAGCAAAATAAATTAATGTGTCCATATTTGAAGAAAAACTTAAAATTCAGAACATAAATGAGATGTTTACATACAAAATTATATTAGTTAAGATTCGGTCAAAATGCATTTATTAGCTTATTCAAGGGATTGAAGCTGGGCAAGGGGAGGACCATAGTCTCATAATGATATAACAAATGTATTTGACTGTTATGTTTATAATTTTCATGACTTTAGAAAATTCAATTATATATCATTGTCATAAATAAGAAAGTCACCTGATATCAGGCAAATAAACATTTTGTCTGTCAAAAAAGAGTTATAATTATTTAATTATGGGTTTCATTGAAAGATGATTAACAACAGAAAAGGCACAGAACAACAGTTGTACACAAATGAACATCGACCAATTAGATTCTCATTTAAATATTAATCCTGTAAGACTCCAACATTTCACAGCATAAGAAAAGATATCTGGGTGGACGTAAATGCCACAGAAAAACAAGCAGTAATGATAAAACCTAACTCATTCACAATATACCTATACTGTTTTTTATATACCTTGGGATAGCTATTTATATAATCTCGAGGACCAAATATAATTAAAGGAAACAAATCAAAAGCTGATGGTGAATCTGAAACCAACTGATCAACACCACCCCATATCTCCAGGCTTAGATGATAATCATTCTAGTTATGTCTCTGTATATTCAAAATTATTAGATCCTAAAGAGATACGTGATCATACCATGTTGTTCTCTCTGGTTCTGCCTTAGGAGAATTTGATTTTAAAACAGAAGTTTATAATAATGCATTCTATGTGGTAAACTATGAAAGAGTGGGTTTGAAAGGTCACACTTAACAAATCATAGGTGAATAAAGTAATAGATGTGCAGTTGACATGGAATCATTATGCCATACTGGGTGCCACACTATATGAATGTCATAGGGTTACCATTGTTGTGATGAAGTATCACAATCAGAAGCAAGATAGAGAGGAAAGGATTTGTTTGGTTTATACTTCTACATCATTGTTAATTGTCAAAGGAAGTCAGGACAGGAACTCAAATAGCGAAGGAACCTGCAGAGGAAAGCTGATGCAGATGTCATGAAGGGATGCTGCTTACTAGATTGCTCCTCTGGACTTGCTCAGCATGATTTCTTTTAGAACCCATGAAGGACCACCAACCCAGAGATGGCATCATCCAAAATAGGACAGTCCCTGCCCCTTCAAATTTTAAATAAGAAAATGCCTTTCAGGCCTGTCCATATGGAGAATTTTTCTTTTTTTCTTCTTTAATTTTATTTAATCTTTTTTTTTACACTCCAGATTTTATACCCATCTTGGTCCACCCTCTGACTGTTCCACATCCCATACTTCCTCCCTCATTCCCCTCTTTACGAGGATGTCCCTACCCTATCTTACATCCATCTTACCCCCACCCCACCAGACCTCCTTACTCCCTGGGACCACCAGTCTCTTGAGAGTTAGGTGCATCTTCTCTGACTGAATTCAGACCAAGAAGTCCTCTGCTGTATATGTGTTGGGGGTTTCATATCAGCTGGTGTATGCTGCCTGGTTGGTGGTCCAATGCCCGAGGGATCTCAGGGGTCCAGGCTAATTGAGACTGCTGGTCCTCAAACAGGGATGCCCGCCTCCTCAGCTCCCTTCAGCTTCTCAGGAGCTGAGAAATTTTCTTAATTGAGATTCCTTCTTTTTAGATGACTTTATGCTTTTTTCATGTTGTCATGAAGCTATTCAGCACAGTGCATGAAGCAAAATATCACGGTGTACTTCATATGTATACGTAGCTAGTTTTCAATTAAATATACTACTACAATGTGTAGTTTTCAACTGAATAGGAACTAGCTAAAGGAAGAAGTATTAACAATGGATTAGTTTCTAGTAGAGACAAAAAAATTCTTTATGACATAAAGATACACAACTGGACTTTACTGTAGAGAATTCCTTAATTTATTGGAGTAATTAGTAACTGACACTTATAGAAAGTGCTCTGCAATACTTACAGTTGAAAACTGGATTTACATATATTTGAGTCACTTATAAATTCCAACATCATTCGTTTTCTAATTACGGTCTGTTGGTAAATGCATAATTCATCTTTGATGGATATGTTTATTTCTATTGTTCAGCTTACTGAATCAAGAAAATGTTTCATCTTGACAGATGATTTCTAGCCTCAAACTACAAACAATACAAATGTCTGCTCACAATTCTTTTTAAATGAAATTAAAAAATAGTTTATTCTAGAGCAATTTTGAATGACCATGTCCAAGAAATACAGATTTAGATTAGCCCAAAATTCATGTTTCAATGTGAAAGCAGTTCCACAAACTTTTATAGTTTTACAGATAAAAGAAAGTCATGAATCAAGATGAATTTAAAATGCACTGGCAAAAACATCAGAGAAGTGTCTCTAGCAAGTTTGAGGAAGCTATTCTGTAGACCCAAGATGTTAGCCAATGATATTCTTAGCTTTTAGATAAATTGGAAACTCGAAGTTTGCTAAGTAGATAGATTAAAAAACATGGCTATCATTATTCACAAGATGTTAGCTCAGTCACTGAAGTGGGCGAGGAATGGCTGTTGCAGAGGGTGAAAACTAGCTCAAGATAAGGTAACTCTTGGACCTGTAATGTTCCAAGCTCTCCATGTTACTGAAAGTCTAATCAGTCAGCCAGTCTCAACAGACACAACTTCTTTGCGGGAGTTCTCACGCACAATTCTCAGTGTTAGGTAACATCACACTCTGCGGATGTGGGTACTGCATATTATTTATTAACTATTACAAGGTACCTCATGGTTTTGATGGCTTATTCTTGGGAACTGATGTCTATGAGGTGGAATAATGGGAAGACAATGTTCTTCAGGAGAGAAATAGCTGATACAGGGCATTAAGAAAGAAGCTCTTGGTATTATGATTCCTTCAAAAGTCCTATTTTTAACCATTTGAATACAAGTAGGATAGTTCATTGAATACAAATAACTATAAATACGAGGAGAATATATAGTCAGTGCTGTTAAAATATATAAAATTTGGTGCTTTTTGTATGTTTGTTTCATCTGTAATCTTTCACTTCATTAAGCTAAACTGTGTTCTTGATTGATTTTTTTAAGTCTTTTAATCTGCATAACATGTAAATACTGTGTCATGTACAGAGAGTCCAGATTAAGATCATAATGGCTAATATGTACACTATCTTTGAGTCAACTTTTGAAGACTATTTTCTCTAGTTCTCTATGTTTTCTTTCACTTTATTCAGGGACCAGCTGAGTCTGTATTCCTGCTGGGAATCAAACTGGTTATCTGTGAGGTCCTTTTAAGTGTGGAGAATAGGGAGGTACCTCACTTTCCAGTGGTTTGAGAAACAGTTTCCATGTGAAATGCTTTCCGGTTACTTGAAGATGTAGAGATGTTATAGAATGGCAGACACTTTCAAGTTATTTCTGCCTCCACGGATCCTTTGATTACTTTTGGAATATTAAAAAAAATTCCAGAGAATTAGACTATTTAAAATAAACAGAAAAATTGGTTTAAGTTAGTCAGTCTGTTAGAATCGATTTGTGAGAGGGGGAGAAAAATTATCATTTGATAGGCAGTGTCTTTCTCAAGAGCAATGTGAAGAAGTAATGACTCAAAAAATCTCCCTGATTTCTGCATAAAAAACATTTTAAAATAGTACAGAGAAGCCAAATTTTCTCCTTTTTCTCAGCTTGCTTCTCTTCCTGGTTCCTTTCTTCTAGTTTTATCTAATTTAAATATATACCACTCAGCAAGCCAGAGTGTACCATCTAGGGCCAACTTTAGTATTTGCTGCATTTAGGATGTTCCCAATGGAAAAAGCACATTCAGAAACACACACTGTTGTGGTGAGCTTTAAGTATTTATCCCTGACATGTCCTTGCTCATAAGATCCATCACAAGAATCTCCTAGTGACTAGACCTTCCTGTAATTCACCTTCCTCCAGCACATACTCTGTGCAGCATCCCGAGTTAAGCTTATACAAATACACACTTGGTCATATGACTCTAGTGCTTATTTGTCCTCAATATCTATTTTTATCCCAGGGCAAATTTCAAATTTCACAGTCCGCTTGCTCTTTCGGCTCATGCTTACAATTTGCCTTTGGTTAGGCTTCCTCTACCAAACTAAAAAGGGGCTTAAGAATGTACACATTGTTGTGGAAGAAATCACCAGCACACCAGTGTGGAAAGAGGTTGCTAAGTATAACAGGGCAGAAAAAGAATGCTTAAGGAATGACATATGTGGGACCTTAAATGTGTATTGTGACTGCAGTTGAGTCACCTAATTGAATGGAGGGGTGGTAAAATA